TAGTGCAAATTTGCCATGAAAAAAGAATGCTTCTGGAACACTGCAAGCTTCTCCCATTTCTGTTGATGAATAGTTACTTAGAAAATGTCCTAAAGCAAGGATTGCTCTTGACAGAACTGCACTATGATAAGAAGAGGCCTGGGACTGAATATATTTGCAGCTCCTTCACACTCCCTGTGTAGAACTACATCACTCTACTCTTTGGTTTAGTATTACCCTATTGCTGAAGTGCTTTTCTGTTTGGTGAGCAGAAGAGCAAAAGGAAGACATTCCCTGTCCCTGACCATTCACTGACATACAAAGTGCACCTTGGTTTTGTCATCTCTGACTCATAATGCAAACAGAAGTGAGCATAATGATAGAGGAAGTTTCTAACTTCCCCTTCACTCCCTCGCTCTCTAGCAAGGGTTGCAACTATTTAACCCTAACTGCTTTGGATGAAAACATCTCAGTGAGTCAGTTATTTGCAAATAGCTCTCCACCTTCTTTTGCATTTCATCTCTGTGGGTGCTCCACGTCTGCTTTGCATTTGGATGAGTTTTTTCATCAACATCTGCACACAACTAAACTCTCAGCATCTTTGTTGCACAGCCCTTTGAGATCTAGCATCTTCTGATCACATCAGTAGCCATAAATTTATTTTAAAGTTTTGATTATAGAATGAGACAGCATAATTATCCGCTGCTGGTGTTCAGTAGTTTCTACAGAACACAACTAACAGTTCCACAAAATACACCTTTTATGAGATGCATGTTTACAAACTCAAAACGGTCTTGGCTATTAAAGATATAATAGGTTAGAAGGCTGACCATATATTGTTGGTGCACATAGCAGTCTTTGTTCTTTACTACAGCATAAACATTCTAATTTTGCTTTCAGCCCCACCCACTCTTTATTTTTGTTGAAGCTGTTGAAATTCTACAGCTTAAGCAGGGCCAGTTGCTAAACATATCCTCTTGGCTGGTTCTTTTTCTTTGCAATATAGCTGCTTTCTGATTTCACAAGAATTGACTCACTTCTGACACAATGTTCCAAGATGCACGCCCACACAGTGTAACATGCAGACTTTATTCTTTCCTGCTCATATACTGGCACTCTCATCACCTGCAGAGGACTCTTACTTCATTCAGATGACTATATATGACTCCAGTAGACTCACTTAGAAATCCAGTTATTATAATACTCTAAAGAAAATTATTACTGATGGTGTGTAAAGCTATGCCAATTTAACTGAATATGTGCTGCAAGTTTGATTTTAAAATACCAATAAATAATGCATTTCATTATTTTTATGACAAAGAACAAATGATGTTGTACCTCATAAAGCTATCTGTCTCCACCTACACCACTGAAATACATTACATTGTCCATCCTTTTATGAAAATAATATGAAGCCCTTCCAAAACACAAAGAATTTTACTATTTTATTAAAAGCATGTTAAAAAAAAGTCTCTTGCATAGCAGTTAAACACTAACTAATATCTCTGTCTTCTACCTGAAGTAACTGTGAGAAACAAATAAATAAACAAACAAATTACATTGAGGGAAAGAATAAAATTTAACTCTATTTTCAGAAACAGCATGTGATAAATTATGGAAGTTAAAACAATGAAACACCTAGAATATTCTAAGCAGGTCAAGACAACAGAGAAATAGAAATTTCAGAGATGGAGGAATTTGTTTATGGGGTAACTATTTAAAGAAGTAAAAAGTTACCTAAGGAAAATGACTAAGAGAATAGACAAACTGTGTACATCTGAAATGATATAAATGCAGGCAATCTCACTGAATACAGTGAGTGAAAGAGAGCTGACTGTTATATAAAATGTTATTACCAAATACTGTTAAGTGCTACTCCATAGGCTACCAACAGAAGAATGACTAGGAATATTGTGCAAACCAGCAAGGGAGAGGGTGACAGACTAGCAAGATTATACACATTGTTCTGTCTGAGGACATAAAGTACCAGCAAGGGGATAAAATCCTATTAAAGGAAATTTAAAAATAAATACTAGCAACATGTTTTCAATGACTAGATTGCTTGCCAAGATTTATATATATATATAATAATCAAAGCTCTAAGTTACACCAACACTTCATAGTACTAATTTTTTTGTTAGAAAATCTGATAATGGGGATAAAGTCTTTTCTCTCTCTAACTTGTATTATTCTACACTGTTAAGCTAAGCTTCTTCTGGCTCATTGTGCACAAAGTTCTACATTTGGTGTGTATATATATGTGTATATACACACATCTGCAGATTCATCTTCCATATTAAAAGCATGGAATTATAGAATCATTTGTGTTGGAAAGAATTCTTATAGGTCACCTAGTCCAGCTCCCCTGCAATGAACAAGGACATCTACAGCTACATCATATTGCTCAGAGCCTGACCTTGAATGTCTCCAGTGATGGGAAATCCACCACTTCTCTGGGCAAACTGTTCCAGTGCCTCACCACCCTTACTGTAAAACACTTCTTTTTTCATGTCCAGTCTAAATCTTCCCTCACTTAGTTTGAAACCATTTCCTACTGTCCTATCCTAATACATCCATCTAAAGAGTCTGTTTCCTTCTTTCTTACAGCTCCCTTTAGATAGTGATAGGCCACTCTCAGATCTCTCTATAGCTTTCTCTTCCCCAGGCTGAACAGCCCCAGCTCTCTCAGCCTCTCATGTAGGAAAGGATTTTCAATCCTTGGATCATTTTTGGAGCCCTCCTCTGGATGTGCTCCAACAGGTCCACGTCTCTCCTGTCCTGAGGACTACAAATTTGGACACAATACTCAGACAAAGTCTCACCCACGCTAATATTTGAGATAATATGTTCAGTAATACTGAAGGAAAACTAGGGCTACACAGAAACATCCCAAGAAATAAAAGCCATAATCCATGATTCCTTTAAAGATTGTTCATTTCACTGTTGAGATTTTTCTTAAATTCATAAGAAGGTCGTTTGGGAAATGGCTGGCCTGACAAACTATGGATAACTTTGACAATGCAGATGCAAACCAGCAGACATACAGCAACTTGGAAGATGTTATACCATCAACATACAAAACGAAAACTTTGGCTGTACTCAATAAGTGCAAAAGAGACTGTTGTAGGACACCTTTGTTCAAAGTCTATCACTATTTTCTACTACAATCAGTGAAGGAATTATTTAAACACGATCTTAAAATAATTCTTTAGAGATTATATATTTCACAATTGGAAAAAAAAAAAAAAAAAAAAAAAAAAAAAAAAAAAAAAAAGTAGGAAGTATTCCATAATTCATATAGATAGAAGAAAAATAGCTGCAAGTGGTTATGATTGCATGCTCAGAACAACATGCATTTAACACTAAAATCAAGAAGTTTGTTCTGTAGGTTAAAAATAAAATCACTTTCCAAGCCTGCTTTGATATATTTATTGACATTTTGGAAGTAAATCTTATAAAATATGTACTAGAAAATTTTTAGTGAAATATTAAGATATTTTGAATTAATAGATATTTACTCAAAATTGATCCAACTAAAACCAAAACATTGCTGTTCTTTGTCCAAAATTTGATCAAATCTTATTAGCCTAAATGACATAAAAATGTTATACTTTGCACTTATTTAAACTTTTTTGCCAGCTTTATGCTTCACATATTTTCTCACCAGGTCAAACAAAATCAATAGTGAAATTTCACACTGGATACCTGTTTTCAGTTTACCGTATTGCATCAGGCTATTTGTTTAATTACGTAGTGGCACCCTTTAGCAAAGGTCTGTCACTTTTCCCCCTTGTTATATATACATACATTGATGGCATATCCAGCAAAGTTACAGGAAATAGAAGATCATATTGGAAGATCTTTAATTTTTGAAAAGGAAATTCAGATGTGGTCAGAATGTCTGCACCACTTTCCAGCAGCTGAGAGAAAAGATACATACTTGAGCAATTCTGAATGAAGTCAACTAAACTCACCCTCTTATTTCAAGAACCAACCATATTGGGTAAGAAGTAGAGGCAGCAAATGGGCGTGAAGAGGCAGATACACTAAGGTATTAGTAGCAAGAAGCAGATGCAGCAGTCTTAATGCCATTACAGAGCAAGATGGAAGAGGCTCAGAAGAGAACTGAAAAGCTGGATCCAGTGTGATCTGAATAATTTCTTAAGAACACTTTGTTTTCATACAAGCTGAAAGCCCCTCAAAAATAAAAACTGTATCTGTAACCTCTGTCCTTGTAGATGCAGCATCTGGCACACACTAACTTTTATTTCCAATTTCCATTTATCAAACCGCTTGAATAAAATGTCCCTGGCTATCAGGAGAAGGGGCATATTTAACAGCTTAGGCATAGCAATAGCATGTTAGAAAGGAACATTCCGTTTTTGTCTATGCTTGGAAGGCAGAGTCATCAGTATATAATATCACATAGTAATATTGTTCTATTGAGCACCAGAAAGACAGAAGAGTCTGGAGAAGCATCTTAACCATTCTATTTCTTGGTTATTGGGATAGGCATACATAAGTCAAAATTAAGCTTCATCCAAATTTAGGCATTTATTATTAGCATGTTGTCTCACTGTTTACCTGTACCATATTCAGCGTTTCTACAATGCATTAGCAAAGATAATAATTAGCAAATCTTGATGCCAAAATCATTCAGCAGCATGTACTTCTGAGTATGTTATGTGTCAGCAACATATAGACTTATGCTATAATATATGCTAAAAAAAATATCTTTTTTAATAATTTGGTCAAAAATGCTCTCAGAAAAATGGATGTCAATTAAAAAAAAAATCACATAAAACAAAATTACTCAATAAACCTATCTTTGTATGTGCACATCACATATCAGTGCTTATTTTGGATACAGATACAAGAGTAGGGTAAGACTAACGAAGATCCTATCACAGTTGCTATCCTACTCAGAAAGTGGTGTTTCAAAGGCCAGCTTAAATCATGTGCGTTATATACAAATACTGATAATAAAAATAGAAGCAATGAAAATAAAACCACCTACTTACACTTTTACTCCTCCCATATAGAGTACAAGTATTCTTGTTCATGGTGACTGACTAAATCGGAAGTGTTCTGCAAGTTTCAGAGGAGATGTTTTCTTTCTTGACTCTTTGAATACCTGTTACACTGAAAACAAATTTATTTATTTAGTTATCATCAAGGTCTTTGTATGTTGTACAACATCCACACATAAGCTGCTGCTTCATAGTACATGTAAGTTGTACATTAAGATCTAATATCCTAAGATCCAATAAAGCAGACATTTCATATACCACTAGCTATACATGACACATGGTTACACAAAAATATTCCACAAGCATATCCATGAACTGTTTATATTTTCCAGTCAATATCAAAAGCAGAATAAATCTCCAAAATTACAGAATATTACGGACGTCTGAGGCAGGGCCTTTCACCACAGATAATTAACTAGATAACTGCAGTACAATTTGTAATAATAAAATAATTGTTATTAGGTAATTTTATCCAGTTTCTCAGTCAGAAGGGAATTTCTTATCTTACATATCAGTCAGACCAGCAGGTACACACTAAATATAAGAAAGTCAGCTAGAGTAATTTTCAAATCCAGATGCCTAGGGATATTTATACCAGCAGTTGGGTGCTTTCATAGAGGTGACAGGGTTTGACAAATTATCCTCTGTATTACAATAATGACTAAGCATGAGCTCTAGCAACTGGTAATGACATGCCATGGAGGCTTTGAAAAGCAGCATTCATCAGCCTCTGGCTAAGTACACACCAGTCATCATGGACAAGCAGAGTTAAAGGGAAATTCGTGTGCCCTAGGATAAGGCAATTGGAAGCTTTATATTCTCATTCTGGGCCAGGTATATTTCTGCACACATTTTTTCCTTTGCCAGACAAAGATGAGATATAGCACAATTTCTGACCAACAAAGTTGTCATAGCAAAAATCTCCTAATGTAGACTCAATCACAGTAGCAAAAAATTACAGGCATAGCTTATTTTCCTCATGTACAGGCACATTACTGATACAATTCATATGGATATAAGAAATTTCACACTAGGATAGACTTCATCCATATGAGCATAATTTTACAGAATCACAGAACAGCCTGGGTTGGAAGGGATCTCAAATATCATGAATCTCCAACCTCCCTGCCACACGCAGGACCACCCCTGAGGCCACTCCCCATTTAATACTAGACGAGGCTGCAAAGGCCTCCATCCAATCTGGCCTTGAACAGGGATGGGGCAATTTTACTAGCATAACTTACTGTTTTAAGATGACAGTGTCTTTAAGACTCTCTGAAGCCCCACTTCCACAGTTAGAAGACTAACTTTTCAGTGCCAGTGTGATACTAAGAGTCAGATATTCATTTATGCACTATATATAGGTGTAGTCTCCCTCCCCATCAGGAGAACATCACGACTTGTAACATGACTTGAAAACTGGCTTTACTTTGTAAGAAATCCTCTTATCTCAATACATAAGCAAGGCTTTGGCACACTACTTCATCTTTCGGTTTGTTTTCTAAAACTCTACCATTTCTTTAGATAAATAATAAATATGTCTTGATTATTTATGTATTTAATTATTTATAGGCAGCCTCCAGTTACAGTGAAGCAAAGCCAAGAGTGGAGGAAACAGCTAATATTTTTTCATATTTAAATACATATAGATACATATAGTCCGCAGTGTTACAACACCAAAATACATGATTTTCATTTTAGATATTAATCCACTGAAAGAAGCAAAAAGCAGTACGTATGCAAAAAAATGCTGCCCCTCCAAAATCACATTAATACAGTTGGGAGTATAGAGGTGGTGATTAGTGGAATGAACTGGGAAAAGCAAGATGTTAACATATAGGCTATTTTTATGTGCTTTCTTTAAGAAGATAAACATTTCCTGAAAACTATTACAAACTACTCCTATTCTGTTATCATGAATATATGTAAATGTGCACAAGAACTATAACTATGTTTTGTGGAAAGAAAATGAATTTTCAATGACTTTTACTTGCAATCCCTACATACAAGTCAGTACCCACAAAAAATTATTTTAGGGTTACTTTTCTTATTTAGCTAGTTACAGGATGAAATGGATGCAAAGGGTGATAAATTGCCATGTAATCCATTCCAGCATTGTTCAAAATACACAAAAGAGAATAATTTACCTATCTAATTAAATAAGGTAATGCATTTAGAAAAAAGTCCTACAGGTCACTTAAAATGTATGGAAACACATATGAAACCATGGTGTTGGATTACAGCTTTATCTGAGCAAAGCAATAGTAACACAATAAATTGAGCCATTAATTTCTTACACAAATTAAGAAAGTTTCTGTCTTAAACATTTTAAGTCATGTTTGTATAAAAACCTGTAATGTAACAATTCATACCTTACCCAGAAAACACAATAGCAAACTTCTTAAAATTAAAGAATACTAAAGGAAGAAAAAAGAGCATTCAGTGCTGGGATGAAGTTGGAGGAAAGAATTTCTTGCCTGGCATATATTTGACCAATTAGATTGATTACTACTCTGCAATGTAATATCTAGAATTATCACATGGTCTCACAAGAAGAGAACTTTTAATAACCTTTATAAATTTGAAGAGAACCTTTAGAAAAGAGATCTCATTTAGCCAGCCCAGAGGCAGCCATCCTGGTGCCATTCAATGTAACAACATGACCCATAAAGACAGAGCATGCCCTACTTTCAGATATTTAAATCTGTAAACAAGTTTTATTTAAAGTGCTATGAAATTATATTGAACATGACACATACTACTAACGTATTACCAGGGCACTTGTTACTAATCCACTGGTTAACTAACTGGTAATTACCAGGGCAGTTACTACTAACCTTACCAGGTTACCCTGGTAAGGATTACCTCCCTCTTGCCAGGTTACCCTGGATTATCTCCCCCTCTACTCTGCCCTGGTGAGGCCTCATCTGGAGTACTGCGTCCAGTTCTGGGCTCCCCAGTACAAAAAAGACAGGGATCTCTTGGAAAGAGTCCAGCAGAGGGCCACAAAGATGGTGAAGGGCCTGGAGCATCTCTGCTATGAAGAAAGGCTGAGTGATCTGGGTCTGTTCAGCCTTGAGAAAAGAAGACTGAGAGGGGACCTGATCCAGGTCTATAAATATCTGAGGTGTGGGGGGCAGAATGGCGAGGCCAGACTCTTTTCAGTGGTGAGTGGAGACAGGACAAGGGGAAACAGCCGGAAACTGCAGCATAGGAAGTTCTGCACCAATGTGCGCAAGAACTTCTCTACAGTGAGGTGACGGAGCACTGGAACAGGCTGCCCAGGGAGGTGGTGGAGTCTCCTTCTCTGGAGATGTTCAAGACCTGCCTGGATGCCTACCTGTGCGACCTGCTGTAGGGAACCTGCTTTGGCAGGGGGTTGGACTCAATGGTCTCTGGAGGTCCCTTCCAACCCCTACAATTCTGCGATTCTGTGATTCTGTGATTACCATAAGAAACTGCTCAAGCATTAGTTATTCATATGCATTAGGCAGAACTACACCATTTTAATTATTAATTCCTAGTAATTACTATGTAATTAAAATGCAAATATTTCTACTGGGTTAATAGCTCAATAATAGAATTTTCATTTTTCTGAAATAAAGATTAAGGGATGGCAAAATAAAAATAATTTTGTGTTCTGTTTCCAAGTGTACTTTATGGCTACTTTTTCAAACTTTTTGCTTGTAGCAGAGGTCCAAAACAGCATATCATACAACACAAAATACTTTAAATAATTTCAAGAAATTCCAAAATGTTAGGAAAAGTAATGATAAAGAAATATTCAAAGAGGAAAAAGGAAAAATAACTAGAAATTTAGTCAGATTCCTTGGGCTGAATCAAGAAGTTTTAAAAGAAAATGACAAAGAATTCTTGTCACATCTAGGATATTATTGCTGTTTGTATGCATACCTCATCATAAGAGGAGCATTTTCTTAAAAAAAAAAGGTATGAACTGATACAAAATAATCCCTGGTGCACAGTGTCATGCAATACTGCTTTGCTTGCCAGATAGCCCCATCTTCTTTTAATTTTATTTCATAATCAAAGTCACTATAAGTTGTATTGTCATATATTGAACTACATGTCAAATCTCTTACTTTTTTTGATATTTACAACATAACTGTGAACAACCTAGAGTGCTCTATGTTTGTGTATACCAAGCACTTCTCCATCTTGTACTATGCATTTGACAAAGAGCAATTAATGTAAAGCAAATAATGTGAAGACTGTGCCCACAAGAAGTTAGGGTTCTGTATGCTTGTATGCTGTGCTTCCTCACTCTTACATAGTTTGAGTATTTTAACATTAGATGCATATCTAAAACCTGAGCAAATGGATTTCAAAATACAAATTCAAATTGATGTGATCTGGGGAGCTTACTGCTGGCAGCTAGCAAGATTATAGTACTGCTTATTGTTTTACCAAATCTGATTCTAATGGAAACTGTTTGTATCAGAGCTGTGTCAAAAAATACAGCTTTAGGCTTTTATTTTTTCTTCTCCTTTCTATGAGATAACAAGCATAAATGTTACAGTTCATCATTAGCAAACACTCATAATCTAGAAAAAAAATAAACTTATTAAGACTGCCAATCATTGCCAAAAAGGTTTTATAAAAGATACAACATGCACTTAAAAACATGGTTTGCTTCCTTTTGTCACTCGACATTCGGATGCGTGAGTGAGATGGAGAAATGATACAGTTCATCTCTGACATATCTCTATTTCTGAGCAGTTCTAGACTCGTAACGTAGCCAAAGTTCTTTCAATTAGAAAGATGGGAAAAAAATAAAAGCACATCATCACACAGGATTAGATATCTCTCAAATTAACTACTTGTCCCTCTGATCTACCAGAAGAGTCCTGACACTCCTCTGAAGAAGGTATGCTGTTCACACATTTTAATCTCAGAAACAAGCAAAGCACAGTCCCTTTACAGTAACTGATGATAAAAACACAAAAGACCTCAGCTTCTCTGCAGTGTGTATGACTCATCCAGTGACCAAGACTGATTCTGGAATGCTTTAATGTGGGCTTGTTTAATTTCAGTAGGAGATGCTGTTTAGGGACATTGTTTTTCCCCAGTACAACAGAATACAGAAGAAAAGAG